AGAAATTCACCTCAGAGTTGCACTTGGTAGAGCAGCCATGGATGCCTCGGAAAAGAGATTCAAATCTGTAATGTGTGATCCATGACACACCTAGGTTTACAAAGATCAGGCTCAGGCAAGTCACAATATTCCCTGTGAGCAGTGGTGGGATTCAAAAAGTGGCATGGTAGGGGAAGGATACTGCAAAATCCCCATTCCCTCCCCACCCTTCTAACCTGCTTTCCAGCTCCGTTCTCCTGTGCAGGGCAACCAAAGAAGACCCAGCCAATCAGCTGGGACTCGGGAGGCAGAGAATAGATGTGGGTGGGGCCAGTCAGAGGTGGGATTTGCCGGTTCTCCAAACTACTCAAAATTTCCACTACCGGTTCTCCAGAACTGGTCAGAACCTACTGAATACCACCGCTGCCTGTGAGGCTCTACGAGAGTGAAAGATAGAAAAAGTAGGATAGGAAGACAGATGTTTTCGGCCACTGATGTTGGAGAAGATCCTGGGAATAATATAGACAACTAAGAAAACAAACCAAGGAGTCATCAAATAAATCAACCCAGAATTCTCACTTGAGGAACAAATAACCAGGCACAAACTATGCTACATTAGACACAATATGCAAGGAAGATGGACTCCATTTACAGTAGCAATGTTGGAAAACCCGAAAGACCAGGTCAGGGAGAGGCCATCATGGAGCAAAATCTATCTACATGGTTAATTAAAAACAACTTGGAGGCCCACAACCTATCAGTCAGTCACTTAATCTGCAAAATGATGGGAGGAATTGATGCTTTTTATCCAAACAATGCTAAGAGTTTTCTCGCTATTTGAGAATGTCCTATTTATGGAGCCACCCATTTAAGAGGATAAAGTTGCTAAGAGCCATGGTGGCGCAATAGTTAGAATGCAGTATTGCAGGCTAACTCTGCCCACTGCCAGCAGTTCCATCCTGACCGACTCAAGGTTGACTCAGCCTTCCCATCCTTCCAAGGTCAGTAAAATGAGAATCCAGATTGTTGGGGGCAATATGCTGACTCTCTAAGCTGCTTAGAGAGGACTGTAAAGCACTATGGGGCGATATATAAGTCTAAGTGCTATTTTTATGAAAACAACAATAGAGAAAAATTCATGTTTGCATAGAATGCAGCCGTGAGTAGTTTGGGAATGAGGTCCCTATGAAGCATTCACTCCCTAAAGTTCCTGGTTAGACTACAGTTTCTCTCCCCCTTTTCCTCCTTTCCTAAAAAGGTTGCTATTTTTAAAAAGTGCACATAATCGAATGTTTTATTCATCCACTATCCGCACCGTTTTAAAAGCCTTGCAGGATGAGTTTGGGGTTCAGGACAGAAAAAGCTGAAAGCAAGCAGGAAGTGGCAAAATATGCCAGCAAGGTACGGAAAATGTGGTTTTCAAGAAAAAGAGACAAAAATCACTAATGCAACAAAGATCTTTCTTCTACCAGGAAGTGAAAGTGAGCGTTGGTATATAAATACATTTGGCTAACTCACCTGGTGTTGTGTGTTTTCCTTTTAAATGGGGAATTCCAGTAGCAATTTCTCACTGTTTATATACTGTATATGGGAGGTTTTTAAATCACAATTCTTTTTGTAATATGATAGAAAGAAGAAAGTATTACTGTCCTTAACAAAAACTCATCATATGTGCTATTTGCTTTTAATTAAACAAAATGACATTTAATTAACATTCTGTCCCTAGGCTAAAAAAAAAATCTTTTACGTTTAGAGATCAGAACCATAAGAAATTCAATGTGAGTTATATTATTATACTTATTGCAGACAAAAATCAGATGAAATACAGATTAGGTTTGCAATTTTTAGCTTGTAATTCTTTCCTGTATTAATCTTTTATGTTGCCCAGTTCCCAATAACCCTGAATGGCAATCAAATTAGAGTAAAGTGAAATTAAAAGTAAAAATTATTAGCCTGTAGTCTTTTTGGTACAAAAAAGGGATATTGCATGTTTAAACAGAGGCTGGATGGATGGGCCTAATAATGAATTCCTGCATTTCCACGTGAATCCACCTTCTTTCTACACATTAGAATATAACCTGGAATCTTGTACGATGCACGCTTGAGATGGCATTGCAGATTGCAAGAAGCCCAAGTTTGCTTAAAACTGGTTTTACTGAATAGCTATTCAGTTGTTGACTTCACAACACATAAAGCACAATGGGTTCGGCTTTGGCTTGCATTTTGTGCAGATGTAGCCTTGAAGCTGTCTCACTTCCTACCTAACCCAGGCTATTTTGGGCCAGCAATAACACCTCATAAATCTAAGCTGAGGTTATCTTCTTCTTTGTGAGATGCCCAATCCTTTAAAAAAAATAAAAAAATGAATCCAATTAATTTGGATATGAGCAAAATAAGACCACCACTGGTAGAGTGCCTAACTGGTTGATAGTTTCTCCCAGGAGGTGGGGAGAGAAGACAGATAAGGGCAGGAGGAATTGCAAACACCAGTTTATGGAAATATAGGGAACAGAATCACAAACCATTTCCCTGCATCAGGAATAGCAATAGCACTTAGACTCATATACTGCTTCATGGTGCTTTACAGCCCTCTCTAAGGGGTTTAGAGTCAGCATAATATGCCCCCAACCATCTGGGTCCTCATTAAACCGACCTCAGAAGGCTGAATCAACCTTGAGCCAATCAGGATCGAACTGCTGTCACTCGGCAGAGTTAGCCTGCAATACTGCATTCTAACCATGGCGCCATCAAGGAAGCATTATGTGATCGTTCATGTCCCTGCTCTTAATCTATAACACAAGGGCCAGGTTTCTATGGGACAAACTTGCTCCTTTTCTCATCTTGAACTTGGCTGAACAGTATTATTTTAAATATAGGGCTATGCCAAGGTGGCAATGCCCTCATCTTTAACACAAAGCCATTATTTATCTGCTTAACTGTGACATTCCTCCATATAAGATACCCTTGGGGCTCTATCCCTTGTAGGGTTGCTGGGACAACTGTTAGCTTTTTACATGAGGTTTTTAACTGTTCAAGGTACAGGGATAAACTCACATTACCCCAAGGCTTCTTTCTCTCAAGGAAAGGTCATATGCCAGCTAGCCAATTTTACCCTGCTGACAGGGATTAAAAAAAAAATAGCAAGATAAGCAGCCACAACTATGCAATCAAAGTCCCAGCTGAAGAGAATATTTGCAGCTCAGGGTTGAACTGTGGGGGTCCTTGGGGCTCTCTAAGCTTGGCTGCTTTCTTGCAGACATTTCATTACCCAACTAAGTAACATCCTCAGTGCCACAAGGGAGTGGGGTTTCCGGAGTAGAGGAGGATGAGAAGGACTGTGCTCTCTGAGCTGAGTTTTTTTCCCTTTCTTGTAGACATTTCATTGCCCAACTAGGTAATATCATCAGTGCCACAAAGGAGTGGGGTTTTGCTCTCTTTTATCTGTCAAAAGCCCATTCTTTTTACATGCATTTTTAACAGCCACCTTGCAAGCACCAATTTAGCTTCCGTGTAACCTCCAGCCCCATTTTTATGCTTCGGCACTGAACCTCAAGGAGAATGTTGATGTTTAAGGACAACATTGTAATCTTGGGAGATGCAATGTTTTCTCTTTCTTTCTTTCTTTCTTTCTTTCTTTCTTTCTTTCTTTCTTTCTTTCTTTCTTTCTTTCTTTCTTTCTTTCTTTCTTCCTTTCTTCCTTTCTTCCTTTCTTCCTTCCTTCCTTCCTTCATCTTACTTTCTTTCTTTTGAAGCAACACAATAGGCACGTTAAGCTTCTTTCATACACCTATCTTCTACAACTTCTCCATAGACTTCCAAAAATAAAGAAAAGGCCCAAACATTCAGTTTCATTTAGTCCGGTTACATCACTGTCTAAATGGCTCTCTTTCCCCCAACCTATGGCTCTCATACTGAAAATAATTTTAATAAAATGAAATGTAGAGTCCCTCTGGCCTCGTTTATACAAATCTAGCCTTGTTTTCTATAATATCCTAGTCATTCTGGTTGCCTTTTGTATCTTGGAATGAATCTTCTTGGGATTTTTACCTGTGAGCAGCAGAATTTGCTTAGCCCAGTGATACCACTGTGCGTTTTATAAAATGCTTACTGCCCATGATTAACTGAAGCATTGTTTGTTCTCATTGACCCAATTTAACGGGTTTGCATTATGTACTGTTCAATGAACTGAAAGCACACGGGCTGCATTCAAATAATAGTTAGGCTAACCCAAGATTCACTAGTTTGCATTCGGTGTGCTACACAAATCTTCCTGTGTCTTTGAGGTTTTTTTTAAAAAAAATATAATAATTTCCTTAACATGTGAAAGACTTAGCTAAATACCGTATTTTCTTCATGCTGTTTTTACACATCATGTGCCAGTTTTCTTACAAAATACTTCAGGTAGTGTGTCACACCAAATAAAAGAACATCTTAGTTACATCTGTAATTACTCTGTAAGCATACTCAAATTTTTGCCTGATACAAAGGGAAGTGCTCTTGTATTTATTGACAGAGCCTAAAAGAGGGGAGGATTTAAAAGCATTTTTGGCCAAATGTGGGGGAAATAATGAAACATGAGTCGTTTGAAGATTCCCCTCCCCCCATTCTCATTTTGGAATCAGACTTCTGCATATATAAAACACGGTGGACTAAATAGTTGTTTAGTTAGAAGGCTAGCAGCTGAAGTGTAAAACAGAAATACAGCTGGTCCTCAACTTACGACCACAAACGAGACAGGAACTTTGGTCGCTAAGTGATGCAGTTGCTAAGTGATGAGCTGCACCCAATACATTTATGGCCATTTTAAGCAAATTGCCATGGTTATCAAGCAAAACCAGCTTTTCCCATTGACAAGGAATAGGTACGCATTGCATAGTTGATATACTGTTAAGATTGCACTAAGGACTACAACCTAATACATTACATTAATTCCAAGGGAGCTTATTATAGAAATCTTGTTAAATGTATTTGTTCAGATGATCGAATCTGAACAAGAAAACGGATCAAGGAGAGCTACTTACCCGGGCAGCGTAGGATATCCCAGTCTCCAAGTTGGATTCACCTTTTTGCCCAAGATGTTTGCCTGGTTTAGACAGGAAAGCAGAGTCCCCCACAGCTAACAAAACACAGTTCTCTTGGGTGTTTGGGTTGGACCTGAACACCTTGTCAGGGTCTCCCTGGGGATAAGCAGAAGACAAGGAGCTGCTTAAGCCGATTTCTGGCACGGTTGGGCTGCTCTGGACAGTGATGCATTCCGTGAGTTTAAACCTTGGCACCTCTTTCGTTCGTAAGCAGAAGTTCTTCAGGGTTGGTAAGGTGGAAGTGTTGGTCAGCTTAACGTTCGCCATGCGAGGTACCAAGGTGCACAAAGAAATGGAGCTGTCCGAGGTACCAGCTGGGACATCTTCAGTGAGTGTGGTAGATGGAGTGGAAGGAGAAGCTGAAGAGGCCTTTAGGCGAAGGAGATCACTGGACGTGTCTTCCTCCAGTGAGGTGAGGGACTCATTTCTGAAACGACTATATTTAGTCCTGTGGAGCATTCCTGGTTCTCTTAAGAATCCTACATCCAGTAGTTGTGTACTCAAGCAATAGAGAATGGGTTCTCTCATAGCCTGCAAAGTTTTGTAACTCAATCTGCTGGATCCCCCACCCTTAACTCAGCTGCCTTCTTATGAATGACCAAAAAAAATACGGAACCAGACAGATCAAAATAATTTTGAACAGAAAAAATAAGAAGACAGGGTTTCTGGTCACTCTGGATGCTCTCAAAACATCTCCGGAATTTTTCTTCTTCTTCATAAACCCTGCTTCCGTTTGCCCGGTCATTTGATTGTTTGAAATTAAATCAAAGTGAAACACGTACAAAGCCCAGATCCCCCAAAATACTACATCTGTTTCATCTGAACAGCGACAATCATTTCAAGCAAGCAAACTCCAAATCCGTCTCAGTTTTTCAACACTCTGTGCCATGCTTCTGTGTAGGATTAATGTTGAAGACTCGGCTACCTTTAAAAAAAAATAAAATTAAGTATTTAGGACAAAAACACAACAAGAAACCTCTTTCTTGAAAAACAACAGCAGGATATACTTTTTTTAAAAAAAAGCCGCCTTGTTCTGACTTGATTAACAAGGACTTGATCAGTTGAGGTGGGGAAAAAAGCACTTCTCTGAAATTAAAATAAAATCTGACAAAGGCAGCTTGAAGGAAAAAGTCCAGGTTAACATGTTCTATGAACCAAACACAGTTTCTGTCTGCAGAAACACCTTGGTTGTCCTTAAAGACCCTCAGTAGGATAGTGACCCTCAAATACTCCGCATAGATTGATATTCTGGCACAGCAAGACTTCAGAACTTCACGGCAACCATCAGTCAATGTCAGCATTACGGAAAAGTCTGTCCATTATCCTTTGGAGCCATCTCTTCGCTCTTTTTCCATCTCCAGGTTAGGATGACCGATTCCTTTGAAATGTTACAGAAAGAACGTTGCCTTTTCTTGTCTTCCTCTTCCTCTTTTTTATGAATGAAGTTTTCTGAATGGCTCTCACTGTGTGCAAGCTAAATAAATCTGTGAATGAAGCTGAGAATGGCTGTAACTGACTGGCAGTCCCAGGGGTGTTCAGTCTGCAGCCAATCGGAAGGGAGCCTGATGACTCACGCACCATAAATACACGAAACTAGTAACCATCCAAAATGTGACTTTTGGCAAAGGGGCAGCTTTCACTGTACCGGAGGTAGCTGGTGGGGGGAAGGCATCCTTGGCACGAGATGCAATTCAGATATAGATATATATATATATAAATATTTCTCAATGAGAAGAAAGGTGGAGAGCATGTGGTTTCTGCAATGCAGCAGCCGGAGTTCAGCATAAAGAAAAGGTTCATAAGATGAAAAGCCCTCGGGGAGGAAAAGAATAATGATGAACTGGTGGGTTTTTCTTTTCCTGTTTCTCCCCTTTCCCCCCCCCCTTCTTTCTTTAAGAAACAGAGCTCCTTTTTATCGACTTTCTGTTCCATCTAGAATGGCACTTCCTGTGCCGATCAAATTTACTGGGAAAGCAGATTAGAAGAACACAGCAACACACAGGAAGCCCAGGACCTGAGCAGGCAATTCAATAAGTACATCACATCCTCACAAACTGCAAGCCATCACAGGCACTAGGAAGGAAGGCAAAAGGGCACCTGGGGAGAAGGAGAAGGAGAAGGAGTGGGGAGTGGAACCCTGCAGCTTTATCACTGGGTTTATTGACATGGTTTTATTTTTATTTTTTTAAAAAAGGACTCTGTTTGGAGCGAGATCAAAGCTGGAAAGGATGTATAATAACAGTCGGAGTGCCTTCTTGTTTTCCGTGATGGGGAAGAGGCAGGAAGACTGCTGAAAACTTCTAGGAAGGTCGTGGAGCTGATGGAAGGTGTCTCTTTTTTCCCCCACCCCAGCATCTGTCACCTTCTGTCTTCAAATCTAAAAATATTAAAGGCTGCTGAACTTGGGATCTTTCCCAGCAAAGGAGATGCTGCAACCGCTCCTCGCAACACGCAGAGGGATTATTCAAGGAAACAATGGCCTCTTAAGCTTTTCTCCGTTTGAAACCCAATTTAGTCCTTAGTAGAAAATCTTGGGACACACACACAATATTCTCAAATTTAGACCGATTTTAGTATTTCCTCTCCCCCCTTCTGGATGTTGTATTATCTTGGGGTTGACTTGGATTCATCACAGGGCACCTCTCTCTCTTTCTCCTCGCTAGCGTCTTGCCTTGTCTGCTCCTTACACAGGGAAGGTGATGTAAATTCTGGATTAGGGAGAAGCTCGCATGAAATTCATTCCTACTTGTTTGTCTTCCTTAGTGCTTTCGACCCCACGGGGGCCATACTTATCACAAGAGGTACACTCACTTTCCTCATGGGAAAGTACACACTCCAACCACACAAAAAGCACCTTTCTTTGCAAACGTGCCCAACGCTGAACGCGATTTAACCCTACTCTGCGAAGCTTCACATGATCCCAGAAAACCCCTGTACGGGTTTTATTTGAAGGCAGCCATTTCTTCTGCTAAAACGTCTCGTTTTCTCCTCTTTCCAGCGATGCGAGTGAGAAAAGGGGAAGGAGAAACATCAAAGGAAAACTCACCTACCTAGAGGCACCAGTGAGTGGGCTTGTGGTGTGGGAGGAGATACTTAATAATAACACACTGTTTTTCTAAGTCACAGGGTGCTGCACATGTGAAATGAAGGGTATTATTATTATCATTTTTAAAAGCCTTTCCTTTAAACAAAGGAAAGAAACAGTAGCTTTCTATGTCAACGGGAGGAGGGAAAACCTGGCAGAAGAGGAAATGGTAATTGATACAACTTTTATTTTCAATTTTGAAAAGATTAACGCAGCCCTGATGTGATGACCCAAAGGGGCGTGGCACAAAGGCAACGCAGTCAGCTAATCAGTCGGAGTCCCTTTATTATCTCCAGCTTTGCCCCCAGTGTCCAGGTTACCTTCTGGCTGGAGAAAAACTCTCCCAGGAACAGCCTTTGGTTGCAGAGAATCAAGTCCAAAACGTGGTCAACAAAGACTGTAATTATAAGTCCAATCAAGGCAAAATGAGGTAATAAGTCTGGCAGGGCAGGTGCAAGAATTCCAGACGTGAAGGCATGGCAGTAACTCAACACAGTTGGGAAGACGCCAGGAACACAGATAGGCAAAGTCAATACAAGATAAACTCATGTTTGCTCCCAGCAGCTGCCACACACAGCATGCATTTCTTTTAAACTCTCTTCCCAGCTGTGGCTAATGAAGGGAATCAGGGCCCTTTCCTCCCCCGTAAGCCATGCAACCCATGTTGCTCTCTTCTCCGTTCCTCCCTGCGTGCCCTAGGATGAAGAGGGGGTGGGCCTGGGTCCTCCTCTGAACTCCCTCTCTCTTGTTCTACTTCTCCCCTGCCCAGCCGGACTTTGCCCTTCCCAGTTTCCTCCACAGCCAAGGGAGCCACACTCCTACTCCCTGTCAGCTGTTTGTCTTCCTCCTCGGATTCAGACTCCAACAGGGGCATGACACCTGACTTATAGTCAGATGATTCAAAATGCACTGGATTTTCACACTCCTAATGCCAGGTGGTGAAGACCAGATCCGCACGGGAAGGTTCAATTAAGCTGACTTTATTGCTAAAAATCTATGCACAGGAATCTTCTGAACTAAAGCTAGCACCTGGTTAAAGTTAGAGAAGAGTCAATAGAACTCAAGGACGGTTGGACTTGGTTCTCTTATGACTATGTAGAGATTCTAGGCAGATTCCTCATTCAACTCTATCCCCAGGTTCTGCCATTCCTTCTCCTACACCTAATTAGAACATACCATAGAGAGCAGAAAGGAAATTGGTACCATTTCATTGGATGGAACATGGTCTCTGCTTCGTTTTTAATTATATCTAACCTGAAGGGCACATGCCACATCCCAAAAACTGAATATCTATTTACATCTCCCAGAAGTATTCAAAGCAGTGGATGGAAAGCTAAGGGGTCTCAACACCATGACATTTAATTATAAATATAATATGCTCACCTGTAAAAAAGAATAACAGATGGATCCTCAGTGGATTCTCTCTTTTTTATCCGACTGTGGTGCAGCAAAAAAAAAAAAGGATGAAACATGGTGAACAAATAGTAAGTGAAGATTGACTTACTCAAAATAGGAGTAAGGGCCAATTATATCATCTTCCCAGTTTTTCTCAGCATTATCATTTAATATTAATAAACAATCCTTATTTAAGATTCCAACCATGTCCCATCACAGGTTTAACATCCAAGAACAATATTTTTTGGGGGGGACAGAAAGTTGATCATAAGGAAATTTCCAGTAGAGCTTTATAGGAGGAGGGTCATCTAAGTCAATGAGGATACCTGTAGTAGGGATGGGAAGGGTATCACAGATGGTGGAATTTGACTTCTGCCAGTTTAATGTGCCTTTGTAAAATTCCATTGACATGATAGGGCAATTGCACAGAAATTATCTCACCTGGAAGCTCTTAAATATTGTTTGGAACTGCGAAACAAGCTCTGTCTGGATACCTTCAACCTGGATGGATGGCCTACAAAGGAAACCATTAGGAGACCAAAGCCTAGCCTTACTCTTCCTTGCAAACATCTTATTTTTATTTATTTTTTGCAAATTTTATTTGAGTCTTCACAAAAAAAAAATACAAATAAAACATCTTTTTTGAAAGTAGCATAATCCCGGGTTACATTTCTTCGTACAGACACAAATTCAATTTCATGCTCATTTTTATGTTCTATTCCATATCTTATTACTGTTTTACATGTTCTACATAGCTTCTCCCCTCTTTTAATTTTCTCAATTTTAATTTAATTATCTCATCTCAATTCAAATCATTATATTTATACTTTTTGTCTGTCCTGTTTCAATTTCATATTATCTTTTCTCATTAAACAAAGTTTCTCCTGTAGTTGCTGATTGGAGTATGACACCTTTATATCTTTTAATTTTATCGATTTAACTCTTATTTAAGCTTCAATATATACCTTAAAGTTATAACATTCAATATAATACATAACTTCCATTCAGATTCTGCTTGGTACATTCTTAAAATACACACTATATTCTTTTTAAAAAAAGATTATAAATATATGTAATTAAAACAACACATTTCATTCCAATTCAATTCTATCATTAATGTTAATATTCATTAAAATCTTAACTTTTTTAACATTACTTTTCAATTAAATATCATACTTCTATAGGAACAGTTATAAGCTTTCCATAATTAATTCCCCCCTCTTCACTTATATTTTATAAAACATTAACTAATTAAAATGTTCCCGTCCCTTCCTAATTCAATTCTCTCATTTATTTTATTTCATTTATTTTATTAACAAACATTTCACTAGATTACAGTATTTTATCCCTCATTTTAATCATACATTGTTTCCAATTTTTTTAAAATTATTTCTATTACTAATATAACAATACAATCTTATGTACATTTACAGAATCCCTTTTTCATTTAAATTTTCACCCATTATCTCTAAATAGGCCCTGTTTCTCCATATCTTGTTTCTGTCCTTTGTAACTTCTTTTCCTTTCCTTCTTCCCTTTCTTCTTCTCTCTCCCCTTTTTATCCCCTCTACCTCTATTTCTCTCTTCTGTATTCCCCTCTTCTGTTGCTTTCCAATATTATACTTATTTTTCGAACTATTTTTCTTTTCTTTGGTTGTTTTTTTAAGTCTTAAATTCTCCATTCTCTTTCCCCCCCTTTCCTTTTTCTTCCCCACATAGAATTACTTGTTCATTAAAGATGGCTTCTTCTTTGTCCCACTCTTCTTGTTTTGCAGACGTTTCTTGTTGTTTCTCATAGTTCCAAATCTCCATTTCTAAGAATTGAAAAACGAAGCCAAAAGAACCCCTCCCTTCTTGTGCATCTTCTTTGTACTTTTTAAGTTCCATTTTCAATTCATCCAGAAGTAGTGCCATTGTATAAATTTTTAAACAACCACCTGATTAATTTTAGTCATTCAAATGCAATAACCAAGAATCCAAAGATCACCAAGTAATCCAAATACACGCAAGCTGTTTCTTTTTGCTTTTTTTTCACCTTCTCTTCCTGGGGTTCTACTATTTAGTTGCCAAGTTTCAGTTGAAATGTATCTTTTAGAAGTCTTGTTGAAGTTTTACTGTAGATTCCTTTTAATGCCAGGCAGTCTCCTCCCTTTTTTCCAGATCGTGCCCTTTTATTCTTTTTCTCTCCTTTCCTGTTTATAAAAATTTTTTAGTGTCCAGAAATCTTTATTATCCCTTTGACATTTTGTTTTATTTTCAGCTTAATTGCCTGTTGATGTCAAAGCGGGTTTTTCCCCCCAATTTCTTATTTAAATCTCTTAGTTGTCAGTATAGGGAAAGGGAGAGAAGAAAAAACAAACAAACCTTTCCCTTTTCACTTTCCTTCACTGCTTCAGAATCTTCTTTGGGAACGATGTTATTTATTTATTTTTTTTAAGTTTAAATTCCAGGGTACCTTAGTTGTTGCTTTTGCAATTCTTTTCCGGTCGAGTTCTTCTTTGAGGTGGCCATTTCTGACCACTGCTGCAACCGCCTTTGAGAAAGGAAGTAATGGCCAGCTGAGGAGGAGAGATGCAGCTCTCCTCAACCCTGCTGGCAGTCTCCCCCCTCTTCACCACCTCTACGGGGTGGCTTAGCCCAGAAACCAGCCGGCTCGGGGCGCTCCAATGGCGAGCCCAGACTAAAACCACGCACGATCGCAGATTTCTATCTGTCGCCGAAGAAGCTCAAACCGGAAGCCCTTGCAAACATCTTATTGTTAACATGACATACAAAGTAAAACTAGCCAAATAGCCTTCTCACATTGCTGGAGTACCATCAGCTTCGTTCTACCTCACCTGTATATCACAGGGATCTACAATTTGCACTATCATGGTTATGCATGGTAACTGTGCATCTATTTATCCAGGAAATATGTCACTGGATTGCCATGCCACTGACTATTAATCATGCTTTATATAACACAGCAACTGAATTCATACTACATATTATGCCAAAATTAAAAAAAACAAAACAAAACAGGATGGTCTATTGTAATGGGTAGAAGATATTTATGGAATATTGACTTTTGGTATCACAATTCAGAATATTGTATCTGAATTCTTCAAAGCATATTATATACAAGGGTGGGATTCTATAGGTTCGCACCTATTCACTAGAACTGGTTGTTAGCATTCTAAGCAGTTTGGAGAACCGGTTGTTAGAAGAAATTATGGGCCTAATCCTGTAAGGAAGGCAGGAAGGAAACATTCTGGTGTTGCTTACAGAAACTGCCTCTCCGTTAACCCTTATTACATTCTTGGCAGGACTAGACTTCCTGTCTCAGGAACGTCTCTGGAGTTTTTTCCCCCTCCTTTGCTGGTACTTTGCTTGTGTGGAGTGACCATTCAAAGTTACAATGGCACTGAAAAAAGTGACTTATAACCATTTTTCACACTTACGACTATTGCAGCATCCCCACAGTCACGAGAGGCCAGGCGAGGAGATGCATGCCTCAATATGAGTGATGTTGAGTTGGCCACGTCCAGCCAGTCACATGACCACCAAGCCACACCTACCAAGCCACGTCCACAGAACTGGTTGTTAAAAAAATTGAATCCCACCCCTGATCATATAGCACATTATATATCATCATCATTTATCGACCCCATAATCCCTTGCGGGGTGGAGTCTGGGCAACTGAATGGAGCTAGCAGAGTGTTTTAATGGCTGGATGCCCTTCCTGTCACCAAGACAAGAGTTTTGTTCAGCAGATCTATTCTCTGTGTGCCCAGAGAGAGAGAAATATATATGATAATATAAGCATATTACTCAAACAAGGAATCTATCGATGTTGGCTTTTCTGGAAATCATTCTCACATTCTGGAAATCATTCTCACATTTATTGATCACAGAGTCAACTACAAAAATACTTCTTTGGTCTTTTTAGTTGTCAGCAGAAAGGGAGGGGAGAAAGCAGTGCATTCCTTAAATGTTTGAGATAATCGCTTTGGTCACCGAAGCTTCTGGCACGCAAATTACTGGAGAGCATGATGGAGGACTCCTGGCTATGGATGTGTCTCATTGGAGAATATACACCCAGGGTGTGGGGGGGAAGACCAGGGTCAAGGGAGAAATGAATAATGTGTCAGAGTTGGCTGCAACTGGGAAACGCCGACATGTCAACTCCTAATCAATCAATCTTTTTTAGATGCAGCTAGAGACTAAGATTTGAATGGGGGTGCATGTCAGAGTCCTGACTTGAAAGAAGACCCACAAAACCAGTAAGCAAGCCTTGCCAAATTGGGATGGATAGCATCCGTCTTGTTTGCTTTTGGGGATGGGTCTTTCCTGGAAAGTGCCGGATTCCAGAACACTGCACGACTGCAAATGTGTCTTGCCTAGAACAAAGATCTTACTCCCCCTTCTCTAAAAAAAAAAAGTGGCGAAAATACAACTCTGCAAACAAAAACGGCGCATTTGCACCCTGCAAGAATAGGTTTCGCCTGACCCCCCCCCCCTTCTCAGGGAGTGTGGATGCCTCCCCATCACATGCATTTTTCTCATGTTAATTCTCAGCGTGTGGGTGTGAAGAGACACCCGCAGTCACATTTGCTGCCTTGTGAGTGAGGGGCGGAAGGAGAAGCAAGAGGCATGTGCTGCTGTCACCAGAGCGGGGTGTGTGCTCCATGCAGGAGACCAGAATCACGTTAGAATCTGGTCGCCTGCTCAACCAGGAGGCGGATTCCTGATGAAGCATACATACATTAAAAGTTTCCCTGCTGCCAAGTGGAATGCAACGTGCTTATTGGCTTTTTTTGGGGGGGGGGGGGGGACTTGAGGACTGCTGGTTTTTGTCACAGTGCAGTTGTGTGTGTTTTAAATGAAGCCAAGAGCAATATTTATTGCAATCAGAGACTTCCTGTCCCTCTTTCAGCTGTTATATTATCACAAAAAGCTTCACACAGCCTTCCCTTCCTGCTGATTGCCTTTGAATTGCTACTTCTCAGTTTTCGGGTGATAGACACGAACAGCTCCACAATACTCTTATTTTCCCAGAGTAGGATGGGAAGGGAAAAGCCAATAGGAGAAATTACTTCAACCTACACCCACCCCGAGGATTGCTCTTTGTTAAGTCCTAATTAACTGGGTTCACAAAGATACCGAGTTTTGGATTACAATCCAGTGATTTAATTGCCAGAGCCTGCCAAGCTGAAATAGCCAGGGTATCATTCTTCGGTGACATTGAAAAGTCTATTGCTTGCTACGATTAAGGGACGACATACTGGAGACTGTATTTAGATGCAGACTATCAAAACGTCTGCAAATAGGCCTTTTAAACAAGGGCCTGAATGTTGTGGGAACCAGGGAAGGAATACAAGAAATGGTCCTGGAACAAGAGCAAGAAATTTTTTTTACTGAACATGCCGACAAATATTGTTAATTTCCCAAACTCAAAAGAGAAATCCTATCAATCCTGGCTTGGTTTTAAAATGAAACCCACAGGGTACTGGGCAAAAAGAATAATGAGCAGCCACTGCTCCTAAATTACCTTTCTCCTGTGTGCAGAGTGCTAGTCGCTAAAAATTTCTTAGCACTGGGGGGGGGGAGGGGGGGACATGCAGCCCCAAAGTTCTCTAGTTTTAACCTTAGAAAGTTGCTCTTCTTTTTTGCAATTTTGGATCTACTGCAGTTGAGCTAAAAATTAGCAACAGCTCTGGAACAGATTCAGGAGTTGAAAGGCCTCATGTAGAATAGGAAATCCCCATAATATGTAATATATATATGAAAACCAGTCTAATGTAGAGGTTAAAGCGCTGGCCTAAAAACCAGGAGATGGTGAGTTCTAGTTCCATCTTAGGCATGAAATTCAGATGACCTCTCTCTCAGCTCAACCCACCTCACAAGATTGTTGTTGTGTACAGAGTTGAGGAGAAAGTACTGTATTAAGTACATTTCCACCTTATGTTAACCCCCTCCCTCCCCCAAACCCCCCAATAAAGACAGGATAAAACTTAATAAAAAAATTACTCAAGAAAGACCACTCATCTTCAGAAAATACACTTGCATTCTGACGCTGATGCAGATATTTATAATATACAGTTAAACTGCTGGATATAAACATCACCTCACTCTTTTTTATAATCATCTTTATTCATTGTGGAAGATCCCCCACTCGTATTTACATAGTGCAAAAGCTGTTATTATTCCAAAAAATGTATGGTCGACGGAATTATCCTTCATAAAAAGAACACAGACAGAACATGTTCATGAAGTAATTTCGTTACGATTTTTCCTTCTAATTTAAACTTTAGATGTTACTGACATTTAGTGTACAGGTGTCAAAGATTAAGAGGCATTACCGAAGTACAGTCTTTAAAAGTACATTAACCACATATAAACATTAATCAGGCTGTGCCCCCTTATATTGATTTTTTTTTCTTTTTCAAATTATTGTTTTAAGATTTATTGTTTGTGTAGGACTAAACTGGGCACCAAGCTGTACAGTTTCCATTCATGGCTTTTTTTTTTTTTTAAAAAAAGTGTTCCGTTAGTGATTAAAATCTGGTAAATTGACCGAGCATCTTGATTAATTGGCACAATTTCTCACACACGCGCGCACACCCACAAACACATACATACATTACGACAATTTCAATAGACAGCAGCTTTTCAAATTGAGACTCCCCCCCCCCCTTCTCCCCACCCTGCCATTAAAATTTAAGAGCTTCCAGTTGACAATGGGATTTAGCTACACTGCATAGGCCCACCCAAAGAAGAATCTAAGGTTATATCCCAGTGAGGTGTTCAGAATACATACGAGTGCATCATTCAAAAGAATCTTTTCCAATTTTTTTCTTTTTAAAAAACCCCAAACAGCCGATCAACCACTACACCAATCTCAAAGTTTGTAAAAACATGCCATTTAAAACGTAAGCCGGGGAACGGGGGCATATAACAGGGGAGAAATACAAGTATTGCAATCGATTTTTGTTAAGATAAAGGCATACATGTTACAATTAACCTACAAACCCCACTTTATTATTTTGGCCCTCCACAGATGATCGTGCATCAGCCCACCTTGTGTTCTCCCTCCGCCTCGTGGCAGCTCTTTTTATGCCAATACTGGAAGCGCTTAGGATTATTTCCTCTAACCCATCAGACGTGTCGCCCTTCCCTCCCCTTCCCTCCCCTTTTGCCATTAACTCTAGTGAAATTAATTAAACTGGTTTTAAGGAAGAGGAAACACTGCTGAGCTTGGCCCCAATAGAAGTGCAAAAACAGGCCCATCATCCGCCCCGTTTGTAAAAAAAAAAAAAAAAGATCCATTTGTGCCGGTTTAAGGAAGTTGAAGATACGGAGAAGGAACATCAAGGACGATGGATCAGCTATCGAAAGGGTGAACAGAAGTGCTAATATCTCACCGCATCGCAAGACGACAAAAGACAAGGAAGCACGTTAAACACAGAGTACAATCTAATACACTTCATAGACACATTCTACCCTCAACTTGGTTCTCGCCCCCCCCTCCACCCCAACCCCCAAAATGAACCCTTTATAAAGGGCGGGCGGCTTCAGCCAACGGTACGCTGTTTGTCCTAAAAGAGGCTTGCTGAAGTTTGAAGATCAGCACATTCACACGTGACGTCCCAGACAAGGGACACCGGAATGCTTTTGACTGGATTTGAAAGAGGTAACAATGGGAAGAGGGTGTGTGTGTGTGTGTGTGTGTGTTTATCTACTGGGTTTTATGCAAACTGGCAAGGGACAAATCAGGTTCTAAAAAAGGAAAGAGACATTTAAGACAACATCTACTGAGGAAGGAGTCATTTTGGTTGTTCAGCACTTCGGAAGGAAAGAATTTCCACTTGTGGACAATCAGCAAAGGATACAGAGGCTACCCCTGTCCTTTTCCTATTCATCATATACTAATTCCACGTACAAGAGCTAATCATTCAAACTTGTCTTTTCTGCTACACTCCTTAGCACTAAGTGACCACACGCACACACAATTACAAAACATTTCCTCTGGCTTATTCTTATTAGAAGTAAAGATACTAGCTTCAAATGTGATCGCTATTGGTCCCAAACTATTAAGAGAGCAACTGACCTATGAAATATTTTACAATGCTGGGGATGTCCCTATTTTTCATAAAGCTTGTCTTCCTGCACTACCTCAAACCATCACTGCCCCATCCCACCTTCCTCCCAACCTCGCCGTTATGCAACTTGGTTTGGTGAAAATGAGTGCTTAGAAAACTCAGAACAGGCATGCAAAATTTAAGCAAGTCGTTTTAAAACCGGTTCTTTATCTCTCACCCGCTCTGAAACTCCACAAGACAAAGGGTATTTTCCCTACCATAAAGCCACTTCTACCTCTTGCGTTTATGAAAATTTACTTCCAAATGAGACAGACTGTTAGATGATCAGAGAGTCCACCTTCCCACCAAGACCAACCCCAAGGGGGGAAAAAGTAAGTTGAGCCAAACAACAACTTCCCTTCCCTTCCCTCAACGAACCGCCCCAAGCTTCATATTTCATTGTATGTTAAATGATCGATAACCGATTCTAACTTTCTTTTTTTTGTATTTACATGGCATGTATGAACTCCTAGTAACATTCCTGAGATCAGTGAAAGCATTAAGAAGCAGAACACGGCGTAACTGAAACAGAGTGGAAATTAAGAAAAGCAAGCAAGGAAAGCTTGAGGTCCCCTTTTGGCAGCCGGCTTGTGGGCAAAGTGACTACGTGGATAATGTCAGTTGGAAAGTAAACAGGTACTTCCATTACCAAAGTACCTGCTAAGTGATGTTCCACCAAAGTACCCAGCCAAAATGGTTTTAGCCAACTGCAACCAGTTCTTCAGGAGTGTTATTACTTAAATATTATAAAATACTACTAAGAAGGTGCACTTAGTTAATTCATATACATCCTTCTAGCCCTTTTTTCCCCCCCAGAACACATTTTCATTCTGATTACAGTCACTTTAACAGTCTGAGCAAAAGAAAAAAAGAATCATTCCGGCTTAATGTTAGGTACCCAGTGGACAAATACCTCCCAAAGAAGTTCACGGCAAGCCAATGTTGGTCAATACTGTCAACGCTTTAAAAATAGGTAAGGTTTTTTTTTTTTTTCAGTTTGAGAAGAGTTTTGCCTTAAAAATGGTCGAAGGCAAATAAGTTTCCTCATACGAAAAAAAAAAAAAAGATTCTCAGTGACAGTTTAATGCACATAGCCTGTTCTAAGAAAAGGAATAAATATTAATCACACATGCAAACTCTAGGTCTCAACGGAGAAGTGATAAAGACAGCTACGAAAAAGAAGAAGAAGAAGGGTGAATTAAATACGGTAATTAAATGTTACACAGTGCAAAATGCCGAGAGGAAGCGCACAAAGCAATGGCTGCAATCCTTACAACAATTAGTTTCTCTCTCTCTCTCTTTTTTTTAAATAGTAAAAATTTCTCCTGAGTCTGGGCTTTAAAGTTTCACGGCATATAATTTGAGTCTGTGTGTTTTGAATCGAGGGGAGGGCAGGGGTTTGGTTTCTGCTGGGCTTTATTCGCGGCCTTGTCTAATGTCCATTCCTCGTTGTCGGGAACCGCCTCGACTTGCTCGGGAGTTTCCAGCCCTTCCTCCTCGCTCTGCTCCACGTTCTCGTCTTCTGCCCCACTCAGGGTCTTTCCGAGCTGAAGGGTTTCCATCGTCCTCTGTGTCTCCGAGACCCACGACTCAATTCTGCTGTTGAGCTGAACTTCCTCGGAAATGGGCTCGTGGGAGTAGTCCTCCTCCTCCTCCTCCTCTTCCTCCTCCTCATCCTCTTCAAGCATTCCTGGCACAAGAGTACTGGTGGTACTGGTCATGGAAGAATTCAAAATGTCCCGGCAACTGCCATCTAAAGAGCCGGTGTCTGTGCTTTGCTGGGAGGCCCATTCCAGGTTGTCGTCTGGCTTCGCTTCCTCCTTCCCACTTAGCGGTTTCCCCTGGGACGCCGTGGCGATGAGGCCCACGGCAGCTAGAGATAAGGGCTTACCAGCAGCGACATTAGCGTTGCCGGGTTTTTCTGAGGTGGTAACCTTGCACACCACTTCTCTTTCGTTTTCAGAGGCTTCCAAACCATCGGAGGTTTCCACCATGTTCCTCCAGTTGGTTTCTGGTGGGGGGGAAAAAAAAGAGAAAAGAATGCAGAACATTTGGGGAACACGCAAAAGCGCACTTCTGTTTTAAACAAGCTGCTAAGTGCCTCCAGGTAACGTCATCGCCATTCTAGGAAAAAGCTTTTGAACAATACAGTGACTGAAAGGCTGGCATAGGTCACACAAACAAGCGCTGTTTCCAGCGTGCTGTGGGGTTAACAATACTGAACACAAAATTCTGCGCATTGTGAGCAAGTGCTTAACGCTGCAAAATAACATAATCGGGACTATTGTCCAGTTGAGCACTTTAAATGCTAATAATTAAAATGTAAAAACAAAACAAAAAACCACAACCCTTCTGTCTATAGCAAACCTAAGAAAAAAGGGGATGGGAGGAAGCAATTCTAAGAATGCGAACTATTGTTTCCGTGAATAAAACTGTATGTGACAATAGACAAATTTTAGCCTATGAGAGTTTAACTATTTGTTTCCAAATCAGCAACCACAGACATACTGAAGAACATTTGAAATAGTGCTACAAAGCTATAGTGTGGTTAGTACACCGCTGTTCCTTAATTGTTTTAATCATTCTGATCTTAATGTTTTTAGCATCCTATTTTATTGTTTTAGTTTTTCTGGGTTTTTTTTTAAATTATTCTCAGACTACAAATTGCTCTGGAAGCTAGCTGAGAGATAGCCTGTTTTATGAGACTGCAATACCCTACGGACCTTGTATTCTGAAGTAAAAGGAAAACGTACTAAATATTTTCAGATTTACACAGCTGATTGAATACGGAAATTTAATCTACCTAAAACAAAAGCTTACACTTCAATATTCCATGCAAGGATGTTGGCAAGGGAAAGTTAAGAGGGTTGCCACACCTGAGTGATCAAGCTCCATCTCACAAGAGACAAATGTAAAAATGGAATAATCACACAATTGTGGCCCCCATGCTGACTTTTTAAATGAACTTCTCTTCCCCTCTCCTTTCTTTTACACCCTCCTGATTCCAAAGTCCAGAAATTCATGCCATGGTTGTCCTACCATGAGGATGGACAATTATGGCCCCCTTTACGACCTGTGGACTTTCGATTCCCAAAATGCTAGTTCAGGAATTCTGGGAGATGAAGTCCACAGGTTGTAAAGGAGGCCATAATTGCCCACCCCAACCTACCACGTGAATCCATTATATCTAACCTCAGACATGTGATTAAACCTCAGACACATCATTAAACAGACAATCCAACAGGCTGTAGGAAATTGTAACATTCCCAGAAAGTTAGGAAGTAAATTAAAAATAGATCACTCAAAGGTGAGTTAAAGGGAGACTAGAGGAAGATGTGTTGGAAAGTGTTAACAAGCATTGTTTTGAAATGCAAGCTTACCGTACTCCTTCTCGTTCACCTCGGAAATGGGCTCTGAAATCACACTGCAGAAGGAAATGGCGCTGGCTGCCGAAGGGTTCCGGGAATGGCCCATGTGGTGAGGCACCTTCTTAATATTCTTCAAGGCCTCCTCCTGTTCTTGCTCCATGGCTGAAACCATCTCCCGGTAGGCTTTCCTGGCCTCTTCCGTCAGAGAGACCAGTTTGTTAAAGAGGTTCTAGAAGACAAAGAGCCCACTAAGAGAAGGAAAACTACGACCATCAGGTGCTTCCAGATTGTTTGCATTGCTCTCTTGGACGGTTTCATGCTTGTTTTCCCCTTATTTGTACAGTACACAAACAAATAAAAACTGTTTTAAGATTTAAGTATTTATATCCCACCTTTATTATTTTTATAAATTACTCAAGGATGCAAACACATGCTATACTCCTTCCTGCTCCTATGTTCCCTACAACCACCACCCTGTAGTGAGTTGGGCTGAGAGCGATTGGCCCAATGTCACCCAACTGGCTGGCTAGGTGGATTCAAGGTCTCCAGATGAATGGTCCAAAGTCACCCAGTTGTCTTTCATGCTTAAGGCCAGACTAGAATTCACAGTCTCCTGGTTTCTAGCCTGGTGCCTTAACCACTAAACCAAACTGGCTCTACATAAATATAAAATGTGGAAAAAAAGGTACATATATGTGCCCCTTTGATTACATCCAGGTTGGCTTTTATTCTTTTTTTTAAAAAAATAAGATATCTCAGAGTTGTGTGTATGGAAAGGAATATGAGCACCAAACTCAATTCGAAGATTTGGAAAGAAACACAACACACCCAAATGGCAGATTATTTTAAAGGACAGAAAAAGAAAGAATTTATTTTCAGGCATCGTTGGTTGGGTTAGGAATGCCATGGACAATGAACTCCATTCTTCTAGAGTTGACTAAGAAGCTCTTACCTCAGCGCCTGAAAAATTGAAGATGCCCACTACGCTGACAGGAACTAACTTGTTTACGCAGCGGCCAAGCGCTTTGCGTCCGAGGGCAAAGATAAAAGGGATTTCTTGTTCCCGAGCCATGGCGATCACGTTATACAAAGCTTCGTCTAGTCCACCTTGAGGCACATCAAGAAACAAACATACAAACAAAAAAAGGTGAAGAACTTCCTCACAATGAGTGCATAAGTGCACCAAGTGCACCAAATTTACTAAAAAGTCTAAACCACCCAAAAGCTGAAGTTTTGTTTTACTGTGTCAAACAAAAATCAGAGGAAAATTGTTTGCATGCAAAACATGCAAACCAGATGAATGTGAACCTGTCCAAAAAAACGAAGTAGCAACAGCAATAGAACATAGACTTATATACCACTCCATAGTGCTTTACAGCCCTCTTGTAAGCGTTTTTTAGAGTCAACCTATTGCCCCCAACAATCTGGATAATTTTATTGACCTCAGAAGGATGGAAGGTTGAATCAACCTTAAGCTGTTCAGAATCGAATTCCTGGTAGCGGGCAGTCAGCCTGCAATACTGAATTCTAACCACTGCGCCACCATAGTATCAGCAAACACTTCACTAATATGAAGGTACCTCAAACATATCAAGTATTGGTCTCTGGAATTGAATTGAATTCCTTCTCCACCTTGGCAGCTTTAAGGTGTTTGGACTTCAGTTCCCAGAATTCTCCAGCCAACATTGCTGAAGGGAAATTCTTAGGCCATATATCAACTTTTGCAGTATGGAAATTGTTGTCATGGTCTTCTATATTTTTTTTTAAAACTTCCCAATATAGGCTACAGTCCTGAGAATGCTGATGATCTCTCCATCCAAGCAATAAACAATTCTAACTTCATTTAGTCTTTTTGGGATCCATCACAATCTCAGCCAGGTGCTGCCATCTGCTGTAGCCCATAAACATCTACCCTGCAAAGGCAAATGCAATTTGCTGATGCATCATATGTGGAAGAGCCTAAATGTCATCTCCAGGAAATGAAAACCGCCATTTGTAACTCAAGTGCACCATCTACAGCCAGTCAGAAAAGGAAAATAGTGTTTCCCTGTTTCAAAATGCTGCTTGTTCAAAAGTGAGTATCAATTATTCTTAGTGGGCAACTTATCAGCAAGACGGGTGCCTGAAAAGAAAATTAGTCTTCATAGTTCAAAAGCCTGAGGTAAATGGTTACTTAAAAGATAACGGATTGTCTCAAATACGATTGTCTTCTGTGACACCCCCGCCCCCCCAAAAATGCAAGAATGTTTTAATGTCTGCCCATTCGCTTCTCTGCAACCACAGATCCTGGGTCACACTCAAAACCCTCCTTTAATAGTCTCCTAAATCTCCTGGAGGAACTTCTTGAGAAAGTGAAGGCTGCCACAGGGAAAAGCCGAAGCATTGCTCAGTGATCTAAGGACATGGCACCTTAGATGGCAGCAGTGTTTAAAACTTTAATATATAAAGGGAAGCAATGAGGAAAGAATGAGCAAAATAAATCCTATGTTAAAAGGGAAACTAGCTCATAAGAGAAGATACCCCCTAAGTGTCATGTGTACCTTTGGACTGGATCTTCTCACAGTTGGGAGAAATAATTACACACTTGATCTTGCTTAACTTCATGTGCTTGGTAACCTCCCGTAGGCCCATCACAAGTCTCCTCTTTGCTTTGGCTTTTATAGGATCCTTCTGATAAATTCGTTCTTGGAAGCTGACAAGTTCTTGTAAGAGGAGAGTCACACATTCATCGATTTCTTTACTGAGAACTTGATTACAGTACCTGCACGTTCAGGACGAGAGCAGAAAGACAAATTTCAGCAATGACGATCTGGATCTATCACATGGGGGGGGGGGGGGGGAAGCATTCATCCTTTTTAAAGTTCTCTTTCTGAAACTTTGTTTAATTTCATCTGCCATAAATAGACATGACTGAAAAAAACTTCAAGGGTGTGTATGTTGAAGAGCTTTTGTTATCTGCATTACAAGCTGTATTTCTTACGTACTAAGTACTGCCTACACATTCCTCATTCCTTTGTTTAAAACTCTCCCTGAGCTCTGTACTATTTGAAAACTATTTTACTGGCAGTGTTTTCCAAAAATAGGGCAATTATTTTATTTGCAAACAGACTGCATGGATGCCGCATGAAGCAGTTTCAAGTACAAAAGCATCAGTAATAATCCGAAAGGTGCTTTTTCAAAAGGCAGCTGGACTTTGTTTTTTCTTGAAGATGTTTCGCTTCTCATCCAAGAA